TCATCATCATCGTCACCATAACCACCACCATCCTCATCATCACCATAACCATCATCATCACCATGACGTCAGAGCCATCCACACACCTTCACCCAATCAAACAGATGACAGTTGGATCAGGTCAGGTTAGCTTTTATTATTATTATTATATTATTATTATTAATATATTATTATTATTATTATTATTATTGACAGAAATTAAAATATGTTGATGATTTAGCGGTTTTGAAATACCCAACTCTATTATCGTTATTTTATTTTCTCCGGAAAATTTCACCTTGAAAATTCCCCCCAAAAAGAAATTAACTCTTTCGTATTATGTTTTTCGTTTATATTTAGAATTAGAATTCACTATTCTTCGTTATTATTATTATTATTGTTGTTGCTGTTTTAAATTATTTTTGTTGTTTTTTTTTTATTATTATTTGCCGGAATAGGCAGTTGGCTCTTTAATAAACATGAATTCAAATTTAGAAAAATGTTTTATTATAAAGCCAACTGACTTCGGTGTAAGGTAATTTTTAATATTTTGGAGAATAAATTAATTATATTTTTATTTTTTTATGTTTATATGGTTAAATTTTTGTTTTTTCATATTGTTATTTATGTTGTTTTGTTGCATTGTTTGTTATTTTAAGAGAAATTGGGCACATGAAAAATGTCTATAATCCATGATGCTTTATTATGAATATTAATTAAATTTTATTCAATCTTAAACATTAATTTATTTATCCATCTATCGTTCAACCAGTTATTCAATCAATCAATCGCCACACACATTCATACATACATACACACACACACAAACAACACCAACAAACATACAAACACACTAAGCAAACAAACAAAATACCTAAACAAACAAACTAAAATAAGCATACAAACATAACTGTATATACACACGTACATTCATATCTAAGAACACACACACACACACACACACACACACACACACACACAAACAAAACCTGATTACATATTTTTTCTAATGCAAATTGGAACATTTTTTCCAATGTTAAGTTATCTTCTTTCGCCAAACGCGGCTTAACACGCACTGAATATTCTATCACTATTTGGCCCCATAATAATAATAATAATTTTTATAATAATAATAAAAACAAATAATAATAATAACAGATAATAATAACAAATTTTAATAATAATCTCGAAATTCGTTCAAACCAAAAACTTTGGAACATTGCACGAGTAAGAAAAGATGATGAGAAAAAATCCGAATATCGTCTTGCCAGTTCGATTAGATATTTTATAACACACCTAAATACGTACATACATACATACATACAAAACACACACACACATACATACATACATACATACATACATACATACATACATACATACATACATCCACACATTCTTTATATATATATGTCAATGCACTGAATTGTAAATTGTTGTTTTTACTTAAAAAAAACCATGTGTAATTACAACAGATTTTTTATACACACGCACATTTACACATACACACCCACACACGCACACACACATACATACAAACATAAACACATACATACATCCATTCGTCCATACATACATACATACATATATACAAAAGAAAAGAAATAGTAGAGATAAATAAAGATTTGCTAAGCATAAAACAAGGATTAAGACTCTAACCAATGAAAGCTTACATACAAACATACAAACAAACACATAAATACATATATACAAACATACAAACAAACACATACATACATATATACAAATATATATAAATACGAACATACATGTACACACATGTATGTTTTGATTGAAGATTTATAGATTAAGTTATAATAGATGAATTTGTTGAGTTATATCCAAGAATTGTCCTAAAGAAATTCGCAATAAATGTAAAGTTATGAGTTTGTTTTATGCTCTTTCTTTTCTCTTTTCCATTAGGTTCTTTCTCTCTCTCTTTGTTTTTCAGTTTTTCAAACAAATAGTTTTGTTTTTTTTAACCATAGTTTTGAAATACTGATTGAATGCTACAGGAACAGAAAAAAATCCGTTATAAAAATTATGTTGCAGTTAGTTATTTATGGTATGAATGAATGAATGAATGAACGAACGAACAAACGAACGAACGAACAAATGAATGAACGAACAAATGAATAAACGAACGAACGAATGAATGAATGAATGAATGAATGAATGAATGAATAAGCAAACAAATGAACGAACAAGCACACGTACAAACAAATGAACAAACGAATAAACAAATGAACAAACAAATGAATAACTAGCTATCAAAGAAAAGCATCTATAAATTTGATGATATCTTGAAGTGGAGGCTGTGGTTGTTTTTTTATAAAAAGATACAAACAAACTTGCAAACAAACATACATACATACACATATACATTTATGCAAACATGCATACAAACATACATACATACAGACATTCATACATAGATGCACACATAATGCACACATACATTTATGCAAGCATGCATACAAACATACAAACAAACATACATACATGTACAAACACACACACACACACACACACACACACACACATACATCAGATTTAACATGTTTCGAACTTTTTCATCCAACGAGCTCAATCATTGTGACAGTGTTCATTGAAAAAAAAATTTTTATACACCATCTTCTTTTTTGTGTTTTGTCGTCTGTGTGTATGTGTGTTTCTGTGTGTGTGTGTCTGTGTTTTTACGTGTACGTGTGCGTGAGAATGTGTGTGTGTCTCATCTTTATCAATTTTTGTATTTAATGGCAGCGTCTTTTCCTTTTAAGTAGTGGGTGAAAAACTTCCAAACAATAGTGAAATACTGTTGAATGGGCGAACAGCAAATGAACATTATGAACACTTTTGAATGAACACACAAACACAAACGTTTGCACAGAAACGCTCTCTTTCTTTCATTCATACTTTCTTTCTTCCACCATCTCTCTCTTTCTCTCTCTCTCTTCTCTCTCTCTCTCTCTCTCTCTTTCTCTCTCTCTCTTCAATATAACACAAAATTTTGGCGCCAAAAAATTGCACAGTTACAAAGGTAGAAAAAAATAGTGATATAAAGACTGAGCACTTAAAAACACACAAATATTGGGCAGGAGACTAAAAATGGTGGCACTGAAATACAAAAATAATACGAAAGGGTTAAAAATACCTCAAAAATAAAAAAGAAATACAGAAAAATATTTCAAAAGTAGTTAAAAATTAAAAATAACTGCAAATATTGAACAAACATTAGACGAATAACCACAAAAATGCGGAAAAAATAGTATAATTTTTTCTAAAAACTCAATAAATAATAAAAAAATTATACAAAAACACCAAAAAACTGTAAAAATATTATAAATCTACCAAGAAAACAAACAAAACTACCTCAAAATACCAAAAAAGACCTGAAAAATCGAAATGAAAAGTATTGCTTAGTTAACATTCACGGGTCGCAGGAACCCAGCTCACTGGGCTATCATTAGCGGGTATGAACACTACAATTTTACATTATTTATCCTCCCTTCAATGGGTGTTTATTTAATTTAATGACGTAGATTGGAGGCTTTTTAAAAATTAGATTGATTTCGTATGTTTGAAGAGGCGATGAATAGTTTATCCCATGTGTGTGCGTGTGTGTGTGTACTGTACGTGTGTAAAGCGCTATATAAATATTGTGTGTGTGTGCGTGCGTGTGTGTGTTTGAATGTGTATGCGTGTGTTGTGTGTGTATGCGTGTGTGTTGCGTGTGTATGCGTGTGTTGCGTGTGTGTTGCGTGTGTGTGCGTGTGTTGCGTGTGTGTGCGTGTATGCGTGTGTTGTGTGTGTGTGTTTTCGTGTATTTTATACTTTTTCACGATTCAGAATTGAAAAAAATAATTTTATTTAATTATAGATTGAAAAATTATTGCCGAACGATTGCCAAAAGTGAATCGTGTTAAATATGATTTAGCATCTATAATAACTCAACTTACCTGACTTACATACTTTTTGGTGAGAAATTTTTTATCATCATCATCATCCTCATCGTCGTCTTCGTCGTTATCACCATTGATATCATCATCATCATCATCATTATCATCAAAACTATCATTATCATAACTATCATTATCATAACTATCATTATCATAACTATCATCACCATGACTATCATTATCGTCATCATCATCGTCTTCAACATTCTTCTCATCGATACAATTACTAAAAAAAATTTGAGATGGAAAGATGGAAATAAATATAGGAAAATAAATGAAAAGTGGAGAAAGAGAGAAAGAGAGAGAAAGAGAGAGAAAGAGAGAGAGTAAAAAACTTATTCCCAAAATTGTTTTTCATCCTAATATTCCATAGGCAATGTCAGTTATAAATTGATTTACGTGCTTTGGCCAGTTAAGATAAAATTGAGAGTTTAAATTGGAAAAAATGAATGAATGAATGAATAAAATGAATGAAAGATCTAAAAATAGCCAGGAATGTGTGTGAATTACGAATTAATAATAACGAATTGAATAAACTAATAATTAATGAAATAATAATAATAAATATAATACATTCGATAAATTTTATTCTAAATAACTAAAATAAGTTTTTGAACTATAAGTAAAACAACTACAAAAATGTTACCGATAGGAATAACCATAGGTAACAAATCAGAAACAAACAAACAAACATATAAACAAACAAACACACACACACATACACACACAGGCATACAAACCAGCAAACATACATACAAACAAACATACCAACAAACGACAAAATCTCATTTGAAACAGCAATCTCATGACATCTACAAAGTACCATTCACCAACAACAAACCAACCGACCAATACTCTTACACTACCATCACCATCATCATCATCACCATCATCATTATCATTGCAACCAGCCACATCATCACTATTATCTTCATCTTCTTCTTCTTCTTCACCATCTTCACCATCATCATCATCATCGTCGTCATCATCATCATCGTCTTCGTCACCACCATAAATCCAGGCAACGTATACATAACCAGCCCCCCAACGAACGTGACCGCAATGGAACACACAAAGGTCAAGCTGGTCTGCCAGGCTGAAGGTCATCCCTCAAACATCACCCAAAAATGGACCAAGAACGGGGTGGATGTGATGAGTGGAATTCTGGGGCAACGTGGGGTAATATACGCCGATGGCAGTCTGTTCATATCATCAGTACAGGATAAGGACATGGGGTGGTACACTTGTGCCCCCTCCAACGGGCTGGGTTTGCCCCCGCAAGCCACTGCTTTTCTTAACGTTACTTGTGAGTTTTTGGTTTTCGCAATAATAGTGATGGAAAGGAATTTTGATGATTATTAATTTTTTTTGTAGAAATTAGAAATCATTTTTTTAAATTTGTTTTTTTTTCAATTTTTTCAGAGGTATCAACAACACTCACACACACACACCCTCTCTCTCTTTCTCTCACACACACGCACACACCAACACACACACACACACACACACACACACGTGGGGACCACAACAATCAGTGGCCAAATGTTTTTTGTAAAAAATTTTTTTACAATCACAGATCCTCCAAGAATCCTGGCAAACCCGACAAGCAGCAACCGCCTACATCTGACCACGGGAACGCAAGGGCGTTTGGACTGCCCCGCCGAAGCAAACCCACCAATAACTCACGTGACTTGGTCGATGAATGAGAGAAGATTGGAAGTGAATGAAAGAGTGAGAATGATGTTGCAAGGGAGGAGTTTGGTGATAGATCCAGTGTTGGTGAGAGATGAGGGTAGATACTCATGCGTGCCCCATTCCAACATTAGAAGCAGTCAGTCTGCCTACACCGTGCAAGTTTTTGTAAGAGGTCAGTTATGATGATGATGATGATGATGATGATGATGATGATGATGATGTGATGATGATGATGATGTTGTGATGATAGTGATGATGATGATGTTGTGATGATGATGGTGATGTTGTGATGATGATGATGGTGGCGATGAAGATAATAAGATTCAATAAAACTTCAAAATGCCAATAAGGAAATAATTTATTCTCACAATTCTTCAATGCCCAGCTTGTATATATGTTACCTTCACAGTAGATTGCATACAATTATTACAATCAATTTTGGGTTTTTTTTCATCGCCGCCATCAAAACCCCAGTCATCATCATTATCAATATCACCATCAAGACCATCACCATTATCATCATCATTTTGTTATCATCGCAATCATTACTATGACCGTCCTTGTTTTAGCGCCATACAAAATCAGACGACTTGACTTTAATAAAGGTGACAACTAAGCTCTATATTCTCGTTACCATGGAGAACACGACGCAAACACACACACACACGCACGCACACACACACACACACACACACACAAACACACACACACACACACACGTACACAAGTTTATGTTATTCTCAAATTTTATCTTTCGCTCTCTCTTTTTTTCTCTCTCTCTCTCTCTCTCTGTGTGCGTGTGCGCATGTGTGTGTGTGTGTGTGTGAAAGCGTGTGTGTGCGTGTGTGGTAGTCGTGGCTACGAGAAGCAGGCGATAAATAGAGTAGTTGGAAAGATCCTGTCGGAGACATTTGCATTGTGTGGTCGAATAATAATAATAATAATAATAATAACAATTATAATAATAACAGAAAAAGTTAAAAAAATTATTTTTTATTTAAATTTATTTTCTTGTGGTATTTCAAGATAGAAGTCGTTGTGGTTTATTTCAAAAAAATTTTTTGTTCGATGTTTAACTTTTAATTTTAGCTTAGCTTTGCTCTATGCGGATCGTTATCATCATCAACTCTACCATTATCAGCATTAGCAACGGCATCATCATTATCATCGTCATCATCATCATCACCATCGTCATCATCATTATCATCCTCACCATCGTCGTCGTCATCATCATCATCATCATCGTCATCATCCCCATCGTCATCATCATCGTCATTGTCATCGTCACCATCGTCATCATCATCACAACTTTTATCTCTAATCTTCCGCCATTAATATTTTAATCTCTCATCTTCTCAGCGACTTTTTTCACGTCTTCCTCTTTGACACCATTATAATAACTGCAGCCAATCAGAGAAGAGGTATTAAACGGGTCAATCGAGCGACCAATGGCGTGCCTCCATGCAATCATGTGACCCCGCGGACAGCCAATCATAGCGCTTCTGACATTTATATTGCCGCTTTATCGACTCTTTCATGTCTGAAAAATTCGTTTAAATAATGATAACAACAACATACAACAACAACAACAATAATAATAACAATAATAATAATGATGATGGTGATGAGATGATGATCATTGAGAATTTGATGGTAACGACAGTTGTTGGTGATGACGACAATGATAAAGTAATTATTGAAATAATAAAATTATAATTATGACGTCATAATTATTATTTTATGAGGTGCCACAATGAAAACAGGTAATAACTTTTTATTTAATTCAATCGGCGATTCTGAAAACTCGATGAGCCTTTTATTGTCGGTGCTTTTGAATTCTTAACAATGATTGAAAATAATTAACACAAGGTAAAAATAATTCTTTCATTTTTTATTCATTCATTCATTCATTCATTCATTCATTCATTCATTCATTCATTCATTCATTCACTCTTTCACTCAATCACTCACTCGCACGATCAATAGCTTCGAAATTAAAACTACAGAACGTGATCAAAATTTTAAAGGCCTTCCAACTGGCTAGCAGAAAGAATATGTGTCTGACAGGAGATACATAAACAAAGCATACAAACCTATATACAAACCCCCACACACACACACACACACATACACACAAGCAACCATACATACAAACCTACATACAAACATACATACAAGCATACAAACCTACATACAAACAAACACACACACACACACATACAAACAAGCATACATATCCTCATTTATTAAATTCAATTTTTATTTGGTTCCCACTTTTATGATATGACAACAGGGCATATTTTTTTGAGTTAATCAACTTTTCTCCAAACAAACTTGTCCCCCCCCCACACACACACACACATACACACACACACTCACACATACAAACACACATACACATACACACACACATACAGACACATATCTACAGAAGCATATTTCATCTCTTTAATGATATTCTCCCTAAAAACCAACACACATCGGTTTCATCATCGTTATCAATACCGACGTTATTATTATTGTTATTGTTATTATTATTGTTGTTGTTGTTTTTGTTGTTGTTGTTGTCATTGTTACTGGCGGCGCTTCAAAATTAAAAACGCCTCTTGCAAAATGTAGGATGAATACACGTTCAGAAAGACGCACTAAAAAAATTTTCATCGTCATCGTTACTACCACCACCACCACCACTACTACTACTACTACTCCTACTACTACTACTACTACTACTCCTACTACTTACTACTGCTACTACTATTACTACTACTTCAGCTTACAACTACAACAACAACAACAACTACTACTACTACTACTACAACTACTACTACTACTACTACTACTGCTGCTACTACTACTACTACAGTTTTTACTTTCCGCTAATGACGCCATTAATACATCAGCGCGTATATAAATTCCCGTCATGTAAGAGAAAGTTTTTTTAGAGAGAGTAATCCGTTGCCTGTGCTGGTACTTTGCTGTTTTGCCTCGACCAACTGATACAAAATGATACACAATTTCATACAATAGGCATACAAAATGTATTCCAACAACATACAAATTGTATACAATGAATGCGTGTACCTCCAGCAAATAGATACGAAGAGGTAAAAGAACACAAAGCACTCCAATATGATATAAAATGCATACAAAACACGTCCGAGGTACCTGCAAAATTATACAACTCCTAATGCGAATACGTAGAGAGTATATTGAAAATGATTCTGAATCGGTGCAAACAGACAAATCATCCTTATGGCAAAATCTTATAACATGAAAACCAGTCACAAACATACAAGCATACAAACAAAAAGGTCGTCAGCCAGACATTATGACCAAAAAAAGAGCCACAAATCTTAAAAAAATTCTCCCCCGGGTCGGAAATATTTGCTTATTAAGCACATATGCGGCCCTTCAATGGTAAAATAGTTCTCAATGTGGCCCTCACAGCAAAATGTTTGCCCACCCCTTGCAATATACAGTAGAGATAATACAAAAATGCAAAGAGCTACATAAAAAATACAAATGTTTAAGAGTGAAGATAGCTTTTTAATATCGTGACAAGCAAGGTGGTCCAAGAAAGTGCTAATGATATCCCGCCATCAACACGTACAAATTCAATTTTCTATGCTCATCTGCATTTTGTGTGTGCGTGTGTGTGTGCGTGTGAGTGTGCGTGTATGTGAGTGTGTATGTGTGTGTGATTTTGTTTTTTCAATGCTTTTAAATGTGCTTGCTGCGAAGTTGATTGCACTGGGATCTTATGTTTCATTAATTCAACAGCAGCTTGTAATTCATACAAACAAACAAACATACATGCAAACATAAAAACATGCAAACATACAAACATGCAAACATACAAACAAACAAACATACATGCAAACATAAAAACATGCAAACATACAAACATGCAAACATACAAACAAACATACAAATAAACAAATGAACAAACAAATGTAATTAATGTGAGTATGTTTTCGCTTGATTTTTTTTATTTCAACTTCAATTTATGGCGCGAATGATAATGAGAATCTTGAAAAAAGACATTCAATCTATTAAACATTACCCTTCTGATTGAAAAATCATGTCTGTGTGTGTGTATGCATGTGTGTGTATAGGTGTAAGTGTATGTGTGTATGTGTGTGTGTGTGTATAGGTGTAAGTGTATGTGTGTATGTGTGTGTATTTGTATATGTTTGTGTGTATGTGTGTATATAGGCCCAGATGTTAAATGTTTGATGCGTAAAATAAATTTCGAAAAATTAACTTGAAATTCAAATTCAATAAAATGACATGAGAAAAATAAACAAACAAACTAAACAAAACAAACGAACGCATAAACAAACGAACGAACGAACAAGCAAACAAAACAAACAAGCAAACATACAATGAACCCCGCGCAGTCTTACTTACTTATTTTTCATGATCCGTTCATCCAACTGATTAGACGTATGATTGACACGAAAATATCTTACGTGCACATGCACACGCGCCAGCGGAACACATACACTAACATTACATACACACACATACACACGTTTCTCTCTCCCTCTATCTCTCTCTCTCTCTCTCTCTCTCTCTCTCTTTCTCTGTCATTTTGAGTCTTGCGTGTGTGACGATACACACCCCTACAATTACACGCATGTATTTGATAAAGCACTAATTTACATTCTTCTTGTAAATTAGGACATCAACCTGACGGAGGATTTTGTATCTTTGGTAACGTTGACAAAAAAATAAAATCGAATTTTGTATCTTTGGTAAGAAAATCGAGAAAATCGAATTGATTGTGAAACGGTGACGTAGATAACAGCAACAACAACAACAACAGCAACAATAACAACAACAACAACAATGATAAAAAATTTTTGACGTCACGTCACACAATGGCGTGTTTATATATGTTGAGGATTTTTTTCCCGACAATACCCTAACATACAAACACATGCTACCCACGCTAATATGTATACATTTGTTTGTATTAATTGTATTTTTGTCTATAGTTTTGTATCTTTGGTTTGTTTGTTTGTTTGTATGTTTGTAATTTGTCTGTCTTTGTTTTCATTTTCATGTTTGTTTTGTATATGTTTTAGGCTGTTTATTTGTATTTTTCGCATGTTTTTGTTTCATTATTGCCTTTCATTTATTTTTCTTCTTTGCTGGTTTGAAAGTTTAAAAGATTGTTCATATTGAGTGATTCTACGTACATAAGTATGTATTTAAGTCTGTATGTATGTATGTATGTATGTATGTATGTATGTATGTATGTATGTATGTATGTATGTATGTATGTATATATGTATGTATGTACGTATGTACGTATGTACGTATGTACGTATGTACGTATGTACGTATGTACGTATGTACGTATGTACGTATGTATGTATGTATGTATGTATGTATGTATGTATGTATGTATGTATGTATGTATGTATGTATGTATGTATGTATGTATGTATGTATGTATGTATGTATGTATGTATGTATGTATGTATGTATGTATGTATGTATGTATGTATGTATGTATGTATGTATGTATGTATGTATGTATGTATGTATGTATGTATGTATGTATGTATGAATGTATGTATGTATGTATGTATGAATGTATGTGTGC